GCAGCAGTTAAAGACGATAGTTCCACGACAAGTTAGCCACCATAAAGAAAGTGGGTAGTTATAAGGCAGTCAAGTAGTTTCCAAGCGGTTTGTCACAAAGAAATCATCAAGGGAATATAAAAGGAAGAGAAGACATAGAGAAGAAGGACCCCTAATCAAACACTCTCAAATAAAGAATATGTAATTTCAATTTCTTAGTTTAAAACTTAAACATTTCTTTCAGTACTCGTGTGCTTGCGCCCCTTGGAGGCATTCTATTTAGTTTCAATTGTAAATCATCACCAATAAAACACCCCTTTTTGGGACTTTGTCTCAAGAGATTTGTTCCTTATACAATCGTCTGATCCCTTTTTAATTATTAGCGATTACCCGCGCGAAACAATTTGGCACGCCCAGTGGGACCTTGGTGTTTGGTGTTGAAAATACAAAAGGTGAAACAATATGCCTCACAAATCTGATAAGGAAGCAGCAAGTCAGAGAGGAGTCCAGTCTGTAATCGAGCGATATGAGGAGCAGCATAGCTCTCCACGAACAGAGGGACAGAGTCAGAGCAGTCATAGTCATTACGAACCAATGACAGAGTTGAGTCCTCGAACCATGCGTACATTACTTGGAGAACTCACACGGGATGTCGTTGAACAGGTAAATCTGCGAAATATTCATAATATGAAAAGATTTACCCAGAATGGGAATGCACATTATGACAACATGGCCAAACAACTGAACACTCTGAATGAAATAATGAATAAGTTAGTAGGCCAAATTTGTTAGCCAGTTGTGCCTCTTGCAAATCATTTTCAAGCTAGGACAATTGTGGGACATAATCCCCCAGTCCTAAGTCCAAATCAAGGGATAGAATCACCTTTTCGTCCCTCTACTTCAAACCAGGGGATGGTGTAATGTCAAATCAGAATAGCAGTAATGGTATAGCTAACTTGGGGGGTAATCTAAATGTAAGAGACAATGTATTAAATAATGGACAGAATGCTCCACGTGTTAATGATGGAATAAATATTCAGGCTAATGGTAACAATGGCCCAAATCAAGACAACTTTGTTGCCAATCAGGGACCAAACATCAGGCCTCAAGCAAATCAACCGATCAACCAACCTGTAGGAATTTTATATGACCCCAACCCCATGTTGATGAATCAAATTATGGAAATAATACAGGATCAGATGGCTTTTGGAGTACGTCATGTCATTAGGCCGACTTACACAAAGCCATATTCTGATTGAGTAGACCAAGCATATCCATGGCCTAGATGGTATAAAGTACCAGAATTTTCACTATTTACCGGTTTAGGAGAGGTGTCTACTCTAGAACACATAGGGCGATTCACACTGCAAAGTGGTGAAGCAACAAGCTACCATAAAATGAGGTTGTACCCTAGTTCATTAACAGGAATAGCTTTCTCCTGGTCCATCAATTTGCCAGCGAACTCTGTTCAAACATGGCAACAATTGAAGCAATTGTTCCATGCTCAGTTTTATAAGATCGAGTCTGAAGTTACTTTGACCGATTTGGCGAGTCTGCGTCAAATGCCAAACGAATGGGCAGAAGGTTTCCTTTAAAGGTTCAAGACAGCAAGAAGTAAATGTTTTGTACCTCTGCCCGAAAAAGAGTTTGTCAAAATCACTCAAAACTATCTAAACTTTGATTTGAAAAAGAAATTCCAAGACAAGGAATTTTCTGATCTTTTTTAATTGAGCGCAAACGTGATTAGGTATGAACGATTAATAAGAAAAGAAGAGCAAATGAAAAATTCTAGCAAGGGGACTTATTATAGAGACCCAAATTTTGATGTTCATGCCATTAATGACGAATATTACTATCAAGCCGAAATGTATTTGGCCAAATTGATTAAAGGAGATACGTATACTTGTCCTATAATGGCTAAGCCTAAACCGTCGGGCAAGGATGAGCCTATAAAAGATGAAAACAAAAAGGCTAGAACGTTCTCGTTCGATATAACTAAAGCTGACCTTATATTTGATAAACTATATAAGGATAAACAGATAAAGCTGAGCAATAAACATAAATTGCCAAGCCCTGAACAAGTTAAGGATAAAAAATATTGTAAGTGGCATAATGCATGGTCACATTTGACTTACAACTGTTTGGTTTTTCGCCATGTGTTACAGGATGCTATTGAATCAGGACGAATTACGTTCGAAGATAAGAAGAAAATGGCAGTGGATGAAAACCCTTTTCCACAGCCACTTGGGGCGAACATGGTGACGACTGGTTTCAAAAATAAGTTGCCAAAATTCAAGTTGGTTATAGATGACGGGGAAGAGGACGGGGAAGAGGACCCTGGGCCACATCCCAGTATCTTGTATCAAAGGGAAGGAGCCCAAAAAGGATGAAGACGTCTTGTGTGCAAGATGCAAAAGAGAAGTAAGTGCAAATACAGAGAAACCAGGGATATGGCAGCATCACCATCGCCCTAGTTTTTTTCCAAACGCTCAACCTGGTAGAGGGTGAGGTACATCATTCTATAGGGGATTGCCTTTTGAGAGGTAGTTCAGGCCAGTAAATAATGGGAAAACATAAAGGCTAAAACCTTGCCAACCAAATGTGTGGCATTCGTTCTAGTATAGCGCAGGAAAGGTGATACCCTTCAACGCGATGACTAAAACCCAACAAACGCATTTTCAACGGAACTATGGATGAATGATGAGGCAACAACAGGGAATGTCACGTCCTAAAGTGCCTAAACTGCTCGAGGTAGCCAATCAAAATGTTCTCAAAGACAGTGAAGAGACTGGTACAGGTGAATCAATGGAAAAATTGCCAGAAACTTCGTTTGGGAGATCGAAGTTTTAGCGAGACAGAAAAGATGGAAAAGATCTAGATCAGCTCCTTACTATTCAGTTCGGTACGTTACCTCCTGTCATGGCTAATGTTCGCGAAATTATTTCTTTCGATTTTAAACCACCGCAAGTGTACGGTTCGTTAACAAGTAATAAAGTGGATTCAATGAGTTCGAATATCGTCCCACAGAGATTGATTAGTTCAAATCTTATCTACCTTAGCCTTAACCGAAACTAACTTACCAAAATGGATGTAGACCTAATTGAACTTCAATTATGCAATTTTTGACTTATGATTAAATTGAAATTAATATGCAAAACACTAAATTAAACTCGAGAATGAAATCTAAAAGTTGAGAACGCACTTGTTATAATTATTGGGAATGAAATACGCTAGGATCACGAATTCCCATGCAATTATCAATTTAAACCCTAGTTTCACAATATGATAACACATTTCGATTTTGACGAATCAATGTTCCTAAGTCTATTCAATACTCTCTCTCGAGATGTATCAAACCTAATGCATGAAATTTTATGAACAATTGAAGATTCACATAGAGCATAGCGGTATATTTCTATCCACTATCGAACCCTATGATGATTTATACTATGTCAAATCTATTCCAATTCTCTCGAGTGCAAGAATAAATCACTTAAATTCACACAATTATGAGCTCTTAATTGTGGAAACATTTAATTGCATATAAATCATTCAACATAATAGAAATTGTGTTTTATATCAAATTGCAAAACTAGAATATTAAACTTCAATTCACATGGTTCATCGATCTCCTAGCATAAATAAATCTAGCCTAGCATGCTCAAAATAACAAAATACATCAAAATTTGTATATAAGACATCACCGGGTTGGATAAATCTTGAAGTTCTTCGTGTCAATCTTTGTTCTTGCGCTCAAATCCTCTTCAAGAACTGTTTTTTGACCTCCAATTACGTTCTGGATGTCTCTGGAATGTTTTTGGTATTTATATGCCGTGGAAAATTAGGTTAGCATAGGTGTTTCAATCGTACAAGGAAAGAAAATTTTTGTGCCGAGTTTGTACCATGCGACCGCATGGTTTTAATCCGTGCGGCCGCATGGTTATCATCTTTTTTTCATCTTTAAACCCTGCATCACTTCGTGCAGCTGTACGGTTTTTCTACCATGCGACCGCATGGTAGAAACCATCTTTCAATTCCTGCAATTTGGTCCCTTCACTTTAATCTTCCACTTTTTTACATCTTTTCTTCATTCTTCACATTCCATCATCCCAAAATGTCATCAATTCGTATTTGGCACACTCAATTTCTTGATTTGTTCATCGGGTCAACTTTTGAGTAATTGCATCTTGGTCCTTGAACTTTCACTTTGTGTCATTTTAGTCTTTTTTCGCGTCTTTTCTCGTGTATTTCACCATGTCCATCGGTGTTACCTACAATTCACAAATATAATGAATTTAAGTCACAATTCGATCATTTTATTCATAATTAAGTTATGTTTGTGACCTAAATAAGTGTGCAAAATCACACTTATCAAACTCCCCAAACTTGAACTATTATTTGTCCTCAAACAAGATAGTGACTAAATTCTGAACAAACATGGCTTAATACCCTGCTACGGCTCAGGATTGGACTAAGTTTTCGATTTGATGAAGATGTATTAGTGCAAAAAGATTAATGGCATCAACCTTCGCTTGTTAAATGCGCACTTGACGTGTGTGTGTGAGTTCATGCCAACATATTAGATTCATGATGGGTTTGAGTCCCGACCCCAAGTGGTCAAATGTATCCTTACTCGCTCGAGAGATACATAACCCCCCAAACTTATTTTTTTCACTCAATTATCCGGGGTTATGTTTTTTTAAAATTAGGGGTTTACATAGCTGTAGTCCTCACCCTCTCGTAGTTTGGATTAATCTCACTATCACAAGTTTACAATTCAACAAGTGAAGGCTCTCCTAAATTTGATTGCTTCGACGCTCAAGATTAAACTAGGTTACTTGTCTCGCCTCAAAGGTATAGTTTCTTCAACCAAATGTCCAAGGGCTTTTCTTCATGCTATTGTCTCTCTTTTATTTTTCTCACTTTTCTCTAAGGGTGCGTTTGATTGCACACATTTTCCATGGAATTTAACCCTTTCAAAAATTCTAGTAACCAACCCACGTAAATATCTCTCTCTCTCATCTCTCTCATCTCTACCCACGTACCCTCTCTCTCATCCATTCAACCTGCTCTCATCGATTGAAAGGAACCAGGAAGGCGTCTCACTCTCTTATCGATTCAATCGAACTAGGAAGAAGAAATCGACGATCTACCTCTAGGGAAATCAGTGCGAAAGGTTGGCAACGAGGCGGTGACTGCATAGATTGAGGTAAGTTTAACAATCAAACCACCATATTCTTGATGATTCAGTTTTGTCGATTCTCTGTTTTTTTTTTCGATTTTGAGATTCCACGTGATTGGATGCGTATTGGAACATGAATTCCAGAATTTTTCTCATCTGTAATCACCCCCAATTCTGTTTCTGTGATGTATGAGTCATTATTTATCAAACGCACATTATTCCAGTGATACTCTAAAGATGTTTAGGCAGTGCAATTCGGATGAATGTGTGGAAATTGGTTGCCTTTTATGAGGATTATAGGGAGAGAGAACTTGGGTTCTGCAAGGTGGAGTGTTCTGGCAACACATTTCGAACGGACCCCTCTAAAAAGCAACACGTTTTCTTTGTCTTCCGATTTTTTTTATTGAATAATTCCTCTTGAACAGCAGCATTACGGGAAACAGCTCTTCAATTTGAGATTTCCTTATCTTTAACTATTATACGAAATGAAGAGTTTTCTTAGCAAGTTCGAATCCGCTCTGCAATTGCTTCACTCCAAAACAATCAGCATACAAATCTTTTGAATCCATTTAAGCCTTCAATTCCTTTTATTTTTAATTTTCGACTCAGAAAACTGACCCATCATTTTTAAGTTTCCGATGCCGGAACATATTCTCAGACCCAAAAGACTTTCTCCTTTGGCAGGTAAAAGTTACATAACTTTAATTTATTTTTAAAAAAATAAAACATTGTTATGCCAGTTGTAGATGATGATGCATTTTATCCCGGTTTGTAATTCAATTTTATTATTTATTGGGTTATAAATGCATTTTACAAATTGGGCTTTTCCTAAATGATTTTTGGGTTTTATTAGGGTACTGAACTTTTAATTTTTTAGGTTTCTTGTTAGAATAAAGCTTATGAGCATCATTTGTGTGTGTGTGTGTGTGTGTGTGTGTATATATAATTTTTTAATTAAAAATTCAAGAGCAATCGAGAAGAAAGGTACTTTTATGTATTTTTTGGAAACTTGAAACCAAAAATGGAATATTATTGAATTAATGAATTTGAAACCAAAAACTCTCCATCTATTCTTTGCTTACCAATTGAATCTGCCTGTTTTACATGGTCTCTAGCAGGAGTTGAGCAGCTAATTGCTAAGATTTGAATGAAAGTGAGTTACGGGGTTGGATTAAAATTGATCTGTTCAATAGTAATGTAATTAGAAGCACGTGTCTTAGTTGCTTGTATATTGGGTTAATGTTGGAAAATTTACTTAAGAGGTTGTAAAAGAGTTATGTGGATCAATCAAAATGGTAGTTAGACCAAAAACCATTATGACGCCTCTTCTTAACTACAATCAGGGTAAAAAAGATTAGTAATTATTGGACTGATATTGATATTAGAGAAGCTTGCATCAGAGCTATGAACTCAGATTGCCCATCATGCTGTCATGAATTCAACAACCATGTTGCTTTTAGAAACACTGCATAACTCTGTACAAATTGACTAGACGTAGATCAACTTTTGATGTTGAGTACTTTTGATTAATGTCAAATTTGTATTCAAGTTGCGCTCAAACGACTTGGTATTGGATTGTGTATACTAGGATTTTCTCGCTATTGTCACTATTGTACTACACAGTTGTTGAATTTTCTCACCAGAAACTTTTGGCTCCTCCTCACCTACCTTGTTTTCACACAATTAATACCCCCACTTAGACCTTAACAATCCAACACACACAGAGAGAGACCTATTATATGTATCACTCTTATTCTTATATTCACCTCCAAAATACTTGCATTCAACTCACTAGAGTTTAAAGACTTCAAAATCATGAAGAAATTCTTCTTTCCAGCTCTTCTTCTTGTAGCTCTTGTAGCGCAACTTGGAATGTGTGAGTGGAATTAACCAAATGGTCAGTAATGCAATATTTAAATATTTTGACTATTTTATGTGGGAAAAATGAGAAAAATATTCCAAACCTGTCATTATAACTAAAACATCCCAAAATAATTCGATTAATTAATCAAGATGTCATTATAAAACATTAATTTCACACTTTTAGTGATCTAATTATCAGAATCCTATGCAATGTGCTTACATTTTCCTTTCTTTTTTCTTCTCGAGTTGTGTCATGTAGCAACTTGTCATTTAGTATCTGTTGCCATTGATGCCAGTGGATCCGCCTTCCAATTCTACTCGAGTGGAGTTTTCACTGGAGAATGCGGGACTGATTTAGACCATGGTGTTACAGCAGTCGGTTATGGAACAACTAGTGACAATACTAAGTATTGGTTAGTTAAGAATTCGTGGGGAACTAGTGTTGATAATAATGTAAGGAAATCTAAATACGTTAATGACTGATTTGATGTATTTGCAAATGAGAATTCGCCCAGAATTTATGGACACTGAGGCAACTGTTTGAATAGGTGTATCCCTTGAAAGTGACTGTTAAAAATGAACAGATGCACCTATTCAAAAACCTTTGAAAATAAAAGGTCGAACCCCGTTGCGCAACGGCAAACATTAATCCGGGCGGCAAATCATTCGCAAAACAAAATTTAAAACACATGCAAAATGATGAAAAATATCTAACAACTAGCTGGGCGCGAGAGTGGATACATTAGGATGCAGAGGGGTATTGATGCGAAGGAAGGCCTATGTGGTATTGCCATGGAAGCGTCTTATCTAACTAGTGATAGCGGTATTGCATAAAATTAATGTCAAGATGTAAGATGGATCTTATTTACCATTTCTTCGTAAGACCTGATCTTCTCACCTTTGCTTATATAAATCCATGAATACTCATGCTCCTGATTGCGTATATTTATGTTGTATTGGAAACTCCATATGTAAATGAGAGATTCAATGCTTACTTATCCTTTCTTTTACTTCATGTATTTACTGAAGAATTTAAATAAATTCTTTTTTTTCTCATGTTAGATTCAATTGATACATTCAAGATGTTTATAAAAATGAGAATGTGAAAAGTGACATTTTCTTACTTTTATCTAAAAAAGTCGTAGTATCTCATTGGAGCAATTAACTAGATATATATGTGTGTGATTTTGGACATTTAAATATACAAATTCAAACATTGTTTTAATCTTACATTGAATTTTTATTTACCATGGTAGTTTATAGCATGGCTACAACAACGAATCAACGTCGATGCCGACGACAACAGTTAAGTTTATTTTGGACGATGATCATGCAAGCGATTGTGATATATAATGAACTTAGGTGTCGTGCACGACATCTTCCAAGAGCTCCTCATACAAATTGGAATTCTGAAAGAGAAATAACACTTACACGAATGTTTGGCACGAGTGATACAATATGTCGTGATCTCCTTAGGATGAAAATAGGTTCATTTCAAAGATTATGTGCTCGTTTGCGAACTTATGGATTGGTTGACAGGAAATACGTTCGAATTGAGAAACAAGTCGCAATTTTTTTGAATACAGTCGGGCATGACCAACGTAATCGTGCTGGACGTTTTACTTTTTTTCGCTCTGGTCAAACAGTGAGCTTTTGCTTTCACAGAGTCTTACACGCTTGTCTTGGACTGTATAGAGATGTTGTGACTAATGCCACTCCTCATAACTCACCATACGAAAAAGAAAATGTGCAGCATTGGTACTCTTTTTTCCAGGTTAGTGGTTTGTAGTTATTTCGTCATATTTCTTAAAACTTCAATATACACATTTATTTTGAAAAGTATTCTTTTTTAAAGGATGCCGTAGGAGCAATCGATGGTACACATATTGCTGCGTATGTGCCTTTAGAGGAGCAAGGTAAATATCGCAATAGAAAGCAAGTGATCTCCCAAAATGTTTCAGTAGTTTGCACATTTGATATGAAATTTACTTACGTGCTTGCCAATTAGTCATGTTTTGTGGACCAAATAAGTGTGTAAAAACGCACTTATCAAACCCCCCAAACTTGAACTATTGTTTGTCCTCAAACAAGATAGTGACTAAATTCTGAACAAACATGGCTTAATACCCTGCTATGGCTCAGGATTGGACTAAGTGTTCGATTTGATGAAGATGTATTAATGCAAAAAGATTAATGGCAAGTGTATCCTTACTCGCTCGAGAGATACACAACCCCCCAAACTTATTATTTTTACTCAATTATCCGGGGTTGTGTTTTTAAAATTAGGGGTTTACATAGCTTTAGTCCTCACCCTCTCGTAGTTTGGATTAATCTCACTATCACAAGTTTACAATCCAACAAGTGAAGGCTCTCCTAAATCTGATTGCTTCGACATTCAAGATTAAACTAGGTTACTTATCTCGCCTCAAAGGTATAGTTTCTTCAACCAAATGCCCAAGGGCCTTTCTTCATGTTATTGTCTCTCTTTTGTTTTTCTCACTTTTCTCTAATTTTTTTATGATTTTTTTCCTTCATTTACCATCTTCTCATTTGCTTTCTATATAACCCATGTAACGAGCTTTAGGCCGGTGACTCCCAAACCAGTTGGCTTTAGGGCACCAGGTTTTAAACCCTTGCAGGCTTATTCACTCGAGTTATAAAGGCTCGATCAGATGACTTTCAATTAACCTCTTTCCCTCTTACTTTCTATATGACCCATTTAACAAGTTTTAGGCAGGTGACTCCCAAGCCAGTTGACTTTAGGGCACCAGATTTTGAAATATCTTTACATGCTTATTTGCTCAAGTCATAAAGGCATGAAAAGAAGTGCATTGTTTTCACAAGTTTATTTTATGCCCTTATTGTTCTAGATATTTGGTTTCCAAAACCAACCTCTAATTTAAGATTTTCATCTAATCTTCACCTCACTAGTCTAGACAATCCATACAATAGAATTCATGCACGGAGCCTCCACTCATCTCAATGCTCCCTTATAATAGTTCAACCATCACCAAACTATCTTAAGGCAGTTTACGGTTTAGTTCAATAGAGGGTTATCATTCTTTTTCTATTTTAGTTTTATTGCATTAGATCCAAAGATTTTTCAGTTTGACATAGTCCAATTTTTAATATCATAACTAGCAAGGTTATCAAGCCCACACAAGCATGCATAAGACGAATTAAAACGAAAATGAAATAAAATGCAAAAAAAAAATTTTGATGCACACATACCGATGAACGCAGATAATACAGTTACTTAGTTAAAATTATGTCACCTCCCCAAACTTTGTTACTACATTGTCCTCAATGTAAAATTAACAAAAGATGAAAGATAAAATTTTACGGAATACATGAAAATGACAAATCAAAATTTAGTAAATAGAACTTCCCTTTAATCAAAACGGAGGAGGTGGTGGGAAACTGGGTCCTGCTGTACCGTCATCCGACGGAGGGGGGTGTCGTCCAAGGAGCTGCTGCATCATCTCATTCATTTCCCACATCAAAGTAGACTGCTGCATCTGCTCGGCCTGGATAGCTCTCATGATCTCCCAAGTTTCATTTACCCTCATCTGGATACCGTCCACCCGACCAACATACATGTTCAATCGGCCATTCATGGAGTCAACCTCCCATCGCATGACTGTAGCATTATCCCTAACATCTCTGATGTAGTTCAATGCAAGGTGATTGTCCCTCTGTAAGCTTCTTAAGTCAGTCCGCATGTTTCCAAAATCTTGAAAGAAACCGGTGGTGGAGAAAATCTGTCTCAACAACTGATTATCCATTTCAACTAGTGGTGCTGGAGCCTGTGGGTGGTCCTGATCTTCAGGGATTTGATCCTGTACTGCCTGCTGCCTCCATCGCTCGTTCTCTTGCTCTTCCCTATGCTTAACTCGAGCCCTTGTCTGAGTATCAAATGTAGTTCGTTTGATCATTGGGCTGGGTTTCTCAGGTAATCCCTCAGGTAGGAGAGCAACACCCGCAGCCTGACATATGCCACTAATGAGGCTCGGGAATATCAAAGTGGAGCGTCGATCCCTCCAAGTCCCCAATGAGTGCAGTTGATTGTATATATGAGTAGCGAGATCAATTTTGTTACCTCGAGCCAAGTGGTAGATGAAACCTGCTATCTGATCTGGGAATGTAGTCCTGTGTGATATCGGCTCAACATTGTGGCACATGAAGAGCCATAGAATGGCCAGGGAAAGAGTAAGCTCAATCTGATGCCACTCGGTAGTGTCGAGGGGCCATGCATTCTCTCGTCCCATTAAAACCTCAGCCACCTCATTCCATTTAAAGTCAATAGGGATGGGGACCACATTCTCCATGGTAAGCTGGTAGTAGTCATGAATGACCTCGGGAGAGAACATAATCCATTTCCCCGCACCCAAGTCTGATGGAAATGGTCGGAGCCTGGCGTGTCAATTTCACTGTTGAAGTTAGCAAATAACTCTCGACATAAGATCTCATAGAGTGGATGCGGTCTCTCTACTAACTTTTGCCATCCACAGAGTTGAATTAAATTGACCAACTCAAATCCCGGGAAGTCATCAAGCTTAACCGGCCTTTCAACATGCATAGTCCAATGGCGGACGATGTTTTCATATCGTGCCACGGTAATTTCAGTTAGGAATCGCTGAATTTCGCCCGCGAGCTCTATAGTACGGGGTGTTCCTGTGGAAGAGCTTGCCTTTTCCTTCCCGTGCACAGTTCTTTTTGGAGGCATCCTGCAAAGTTTGTAGGAATATACTCATTAAGTCGATGTGGAAAGCATAGGCAAGAAATGAGAAAAATTTACTAAGCTAATAAGCATTGCACAAATTCCCCAAACTTTCCTAGATGCATGTGTAGTAATATGGAACCGTGACCGAGTGCCCGCCTTCTGCCCTTGACATCATTGAGAATTAGCAAAAAATTTTCGGACAATCTCCGGGCATATCAAAGTATTCATTGAGGTGTAGCATGTATTCGAATTTCAACTCAATTGGATGTTGTTTGGTGTGTCAAATGAGAATGCAAAATAGGGGACGGAGGGTGCTGTGGGCAGTGTCCTAATCATGTGTGTATTCATAGGCAATTTTGGTGTTTGAAATGTTCAATTCGTGTGTATGCTAAGCCCAAATTCACTAATATGCGTGGCTCATTTAACCTTGACAATAGATCAAGCATGTTGTATGTTATTGTATGGAATCTCTAGAATTTCAACAATTGGAGATTAAGTCATGCCCAAAACGACACACATCCAACCATATGGCATCTAAGACTATGGGATATGTGCTTTTCAAATTAATGTCCATAGGAATGCAACTAAAAAAAATGTAATTTAAGTCCTCCACACATCACAGGCAATGCAAGAAGCATAATTAAACATAGAGTAGTCATTGTGGCATTTCATCAAACACATTGCATGCATAGTGTGAAAGTGGTGCCAATTGAAAGAATTGAGTTTTAGAATCATTCCAAATTTTCGCACAACACAAGCACCTCAAATCCAAACGTACAAGAACTAACCCAATGTCCCTCGAATCCTCAAAATTGAAACTTCACACGTGAATAAACCTAGAACACATACCTTGGAATTGTAGGGGTTGAATGGAGGTGGAAAGTTGATTTCCTTTTGATGATAGTGCAACTCCAACCTCGAGATTCTTGTGTAGTGTAGGTGAGTGAAATGCAATTATGTGTAGAAATCGTATCCAAAAGGAATTTGGGCAAGAGAGAAGTTGGGAAGAAAGTGATTTGGAAATCAAAATAAATGAACCGGGCGTGGGTTAAAAACCCGCGCCTTCTTTATGCCATGCGGCCGCAAGGCTTTATGCCGTGCGGTCGCATGGTTCAAGTGGCTCTTGCCACTTGAGTTTCGGTAGGTGATAGTGCGGTCGCACCGTGCGACCGCACGAGTAAAAATATTTTTTTTATAATTGACATGTGAAAATTAAAGAAAAACAAAATTTACCTTGAAATACGTGAATTTCCCACCCAATTTCCCAAACTACTCCAATCAACCCGACTCGTGTATACAGTGCTTGGACTCTTTTAACATGTATGGATAATCGATGACCACATAAAGAAAATATAAAATGAAATTGAAACAAAAATAATCCCTAATCTAAGTGCAGAGAGCATAATAAATTAAATGAAAAAGGATACTGTGGGTTGCCTCCCACCCAGCGCTACATTATTGTCGATAACTCGACTTTTCTGTAGCTGCTTCATTCTTGCAACTCGAGTTGGACGGTGGACTTTTGGTTGGAGAAGTCACCGCCCCGGTAGTGTTTCAGTCTTTGCCCATTAACAGTGAAGGTACCCTTAGTCTCATGGCTCACTTGTATAGCCCCATATGGTAGAACTTTCGTGACAGTATAAGGACCCGACCATCTTGAACTTAGTTTTCCTGAGAAAAGCTTGAGTCTCGAGTTATAAAATAGCACTCTCAGCCCCACTTCAAACTCTCGCCTCTGAATATGCATGTCGTGCAATTTCTTTGTTCGTTCTTTGTAAAGTTTTGAATTTTTATAAGCTTCCATTCTAAACTCATCTAACTCATTAAGTTGCAGCAGACGCTTTTCACCGGCGGCGCTCAAGTCCATATTCAACTGTTTCATCGCCCAGTATGCCCGGTGCTCCATTTCTAATGGCAGATGGCACGCTTTCCCAAAGACTAGGCGGTATGGAGACATGTCTATCGGGGTCTTGAATGTTGTTCTGTAAGCCCATAATGCATCATCCAGCTTTTTAGACCAATCCTTTCTAGATGAATTCACAGTGACTTCTAGTATTCTCTTCAGCTGTCGATTAGATACCTCAACTTGCCCGCTAGTTTGTGGATGATATGGAGTAGCAACGTGGTGTTTAACACCATATTTATTTAGCAACTGCTCAAACTGGCGATTACAAAAATGCTTGCCCCCATCGCTGATTAGAGCCCGCGGTGTACCATATCGGGTGAAAATGTATTTCTTCAAGAATCCAATTATTGTCTTTGAGTCATTTGTTGGCAATGCAATT